TACTAAAACGGAGTTAATGAGGGTACTGTTCTGTTATACAGGCCAGGTTTTGATGGCGAGCTAAAGAACTGGAACTAGTCCTGGACCTGCTTGGAAACCTGAACCCACCTACCTCAATAGGGCTGGTAGGAGGCTCTTGCAGCCAACCATACAAACTCTCGCACCTTGCACTTTATCCACGACCCCAACCATTGCCTCCTTTTCACTCCTCACACGGACACTTACCTCTGGACTCCAAACAATTCTCGGGTCGTGTGGATTTTGCTCTGTTGAGCGCGTGCAGTTTCAATTGCGTTGTGCGAGTGGCCCACGGGTCACGTGTAAATATTGAACTCTAAACCTATGACTTGTGTATATATATATTGCCTTCTGTGTATTGAGTGTATTTGGGATTTGAGTATGTGTGAATGGCCATTCTAATTCTATTGTCAATATTGTCTAATTGTGTACAATACATGGTACCTTTTTAATATGCAACTACAAACCCAGTCTTTGCCTCTTCTCTCCCTGAGTCTTATCTATTCTTTCTGAGTTGAACTAGCCTAACTACTGAACTTGTTGAACTACTATTGTGAGTATTTATTGTAACTAGCTATTTAATTAGCAACATAAGTGCTACATATCTATGGCAGTTATGTCAATTCTTTCCTGGCTAGCTCGCCATAGATATGATATTTCTTCTCAAATGGTGTGAGCTGAGGCGAGAAACTTATGAGCTCCCCCACCCCCAAACTCAATACAATCAGAGTTGATCTAAACCAGACATGTCCAAACTGCGGTCCGCGGGCCAATTGAGACCCGCTGTGACATTTTGTGTGGCCCTCCGCTTGGCTAACCTACAGTGCCTTGCGAAAGTATTCGGCCCTCTTGACCCTTTGAACATTTCGCCACATTTCAGGCTTCAAACATAAAGACATTAAAAAGAATTTTTTTGTCATGAATCAACAACAAGTGGGACACAATTGTGAAGTGGAATGAAATTTATTGGATAATTTAAACTTTTTTAACAAATAACAAACTGAAAAGTGGGGCGTGCAATATTATTCGGCCCCTTTACTTTCAGTGCAGCAAACTCAGTCCAGAAGTTCAGTGAGGATCTTTGAATGATCCAATGTTGTTCTAAATGACTGATGATGATAAATAGAATGCACCTGTGTGTAATCAAGTCTCTGTATAAATGCACCTGCTATTTGATAGTCTCAGGGTTCTGTTTAAAGCACAGAGAGAACCATGAAGACAAAGGAACACACCAGGCAGGTCCGAGATACTGTTGTGGAGAAGTTTAAAGCCGGATTTGGATACAAATAGATTTCCCAAGCTTTAAACATCTCAAGAAGCACTGTGCAAGCAATTATATTGAAATGGAAGGAGTATCAGACCACTGCAAATCTACCAAGACCCGGCCGTTCCTCCAAACTTTCATCTCAAACAAGGAGAAGACTGATCAGAGATGCAGCCAAGAGGCCCATGATCACTCTGGATGAACTGCAGATAACTACAGCTGAGGTGGGAGAGTCTGTCCATAGGACAACAATCAGTCGTGCACTGCACAAATCTGGCCTTTATGGAAGAGTGGCAAGAAGAAAGCCATTTCTCAAAGATATCCATAAAGAGTCTCATTTAAAGTTTGCCACAAGCCACCTGGGAGACACACCAAACATGTGGAAGAAGGTGCTCTGGTCAGATGAAACCAAAATCGAACTTTTTGGCCACAATGCAAAACGATATGTTTGGCGTAAAAGCAACACAGCTCATCACCCTGAACACACCATCCCCACTGTCAAACATGGTGGTGGCAGCATCATGGTTTGGGCCTGCTTTTCTTCAGCAGGGACAAGGAAGATGGCTAAAATTGATGGGAAGATGGATGGAGCCAAATACAGGACCATTCTGGAAGAAAACCTGTTGGAGTCTGCAAAAGACCTGAGACTGGGACGGAGGTTTATCTTCCAACAGGACAATGATCTAAAACAGGGGTGCTCAATACGTCGATCGCGATCTACCAGTCGATCGCAAAGGTAGTATTGGTAGATCGCATTAAATAAATGAAAAAATTACACATTCTAAACGAATATATACAAAAAACTCCGGGCAAAGTGGAGATTTTTGAAAACTCCGTTAATGCATTTGTGTGTAGACAGAGATAACCAGAGTTTTGCGTTCTCGCACGACACAGTACCCCCCTAAATTCCTCTGATCACTGAAGCATGGATCATACTACCTTAAAAACTGTTCGCTGTGAGATGCTCGCAGCAGCAAACATCCTCCACATCAGAGGGCAGCAAAGTGATCGCGGGGACTCACGCTCGAAAACAACCAAACCAGGACTAAACCAGGACTAAACCAGGACTAAACCAGGGCTGAGGACTGGGTCAGTGCTTGTAAACATACGTCTTTACTCTGAGTGTCTTCTATGACTGTAAAAGTGCCGTTACCGGCGTCTGCATCAGAACTCCGCCCACTTCTGTGTTTTTCCCCAACGCAGGACAGGACGTAAGAGACGCACATGTTTGGAATGTTACGAATGTGATTGATAACGCAGATGTGTGGATGCAAATTATTTTATAAACTGAGGAGGGGAAATATTTGGATTTAAAAAAAAAACAGGCATGGCACATGGACATGGCACCACAGTAAAATTACATCTGTGTTTTACTCAGTAATGTTTTACTGACACTTAGGTGACTGCACATGCGCAAACAACCGCGCTCAGTGCAGGAAAGCTAAACCACGACAAACTTGTCAGCGAGTTGCCACCAATTTTCCGGACTATGCATCCCTGGCCGATTCAATTCAGTGCAAGTCATCAGAGTAAACTCGGGTAATGACAAAAAATGTACATAGGTAATTGTGTTGTGTTGTGCTAAATTGGCTCATGCGGTTTTGCATGTACATAAACATACATTGTAGGTATAAAGAATATTTTTTGAAATAAATATATGATTTGCATTTTTGTAGTAGGTAGATCATTTTGACTTGATCCTTTTATAAGTAGCTCGCATGCTGAAAAAGTGTGAGCACCCCTGATCTAAAACATAAAACAAAAATCTACAATGGAATGGTTCACAAATAGACGTATCCAGGTGTTAGAATGGCCAAGTCAAAGTCCAGACCTGAATCCAATCGAGAATCTGTGGAAAGAGCTGAAGGCTGCTGTTCACAAACGCTCTCCATCCAACCTCACTGAGCTCGAGCTGTTTTGCAAGGACGAATGGGCAAGAATTCCAGTCTCTCGATGTGCAAAACTGATAGAGACATACCCCAAGCGACTTGCAGCTGTAATGGGCGGCACGGTGGCTGAGTGGATAGCACTCTCGCCTCTCAGCAAGAAGGTCTTGGGTTCGAATCCCGGTTGGACCAGGGCCTTTCTGAGTGGAGTTTGCATGTTTTCCCCGTGTCTGCGTAGGTTTCCTCCGGGTGCTCCGGTTTCCCCTACCACTAAAAATATGTACAATAGGTCTGGCATGTGCCTCTATGTACTGGCACCCCCACTCCCAAAAATAACAATTGTAAACCACTTTGAGACTCCAATGTGCAGTGAAAAGGCGGTATATAAATAAAGATTGCTTACTACTTATTACTTACTTACTAATAGCAGCAAAAGGTGGCGCTACAAAGTATTAGCGCAAGGGGGCCGAATAATATTGCACGCCCCACTTTTCAGTTTATTTGTTAAAAAAGTTTAAATTATCCAATACATTTTGTTCCACTTCACAATTGTGTCCCACTTGTTGTTGATTCTTGACACAAATGTTTGAAGCCTGAAATGTGGCGAAATGTTGAAAGGTTCAAGGGGGCCAAATACTTTTGCAAGGAACTGTATATACTGATATTTGTTTTACATTTTTTCTGTTGTGTGTCGCTGGGCAATACGGCTGAAAACTATATCATTGTGATAGTTTAATATTAACCAGTTTTAATTAACCAATATTAATCACTTATATTGTATAAGTGATTAATATTGGTCAATATTGATAATTGTTTTGTTTAAAACCTAAATAAATACATTTGTCGAGTCGGCTAACACACGTTAGCAGCCCTTATTTACAGTCACGGGGGAATGAGAACTCAGGCTGGAGGCATATGTTCACAAGCACAGTGTCCCCCATTGTCAGTCCTGGTTTAGCTCCTGTTTTGGCTGTTTTCGAGTGTCATCTGTCCCCATAACGGCTCCGTGCCGCACGTGCTTCCTGAGGAAAAAGTTAGTCTCTGTACCCACTGTTTCTGCTGCATCGCACATGCTATTCCTTGCACAGAAGTGCATATTGACACTGCATTAAAACATAATCATAGATCCATAGATGCTACGCACGGTGCAGTTGTTTTTTGCACTTCCCAAAATGTTTTGCGGTTCATGCTTGGCCGTGATAGATGGAAAAGCCTCTGCCTACATCCCCCAGAATGCCGCGTGCTTCTGACTCTGCTTTACTTCCTGTTTTCTTCCTGTTTTTTTAACGGAGTGAAGTTGAACTATCGAACATTCTATCGACCCCGTTTTCTATTGATATTGAACCCATGTCTATCGCGATATATCGTTATTGTTTCCCAAAATTCCATTGTAATATTCCATGTAGCTGGTGAGAAAGTAAACATTTGTCATTCAGCCAACTTTAGCTCCGTCAAATGTGAACCAATATAGAAATGTCATGTCCATGTCTGGGTCGGCAGTCCCTGGGAAATGAAAGTGGCCCTCTTACTAAGAAGTTCGGACAGGGTATAGCAGCACTTTTTATTCATTTTAAGACAGGACAATACCAATTGTCTTCATGATTTAAAAGTGGAAATTGATCTATTCCATTTTGAATAGTGTTAAATATACCTTTACATTAAGGCTTAAAAGGCTCTTTTAGTAAGACAATAAATGTAGTAATGCTGAATTACCTGGCATGTTTACTGTGTAATGTAAGCAGTACTACCATCTTTAAATTAAGGCTTAAACATAAAAAGACAAATGTAACTTTTTACATTTAAAATCTTTACATTGCTAAATCTATGTAAAGTCATCTGTCATCTTGTCCGTGAAGCTGGCCATCGTAAAGCTCCCTGAGGTGTAGGATGAGCTCTTCTGTGTTCCCTCCTGTGAGGGCGGACAGTGGGATGACCCTCTGTTCCACGCGTCCCCTCAGAGTCTGGAGCTTCTCTTTGGACTCCGGAAGGTCCATCTTGTTGGCGATGATGGTGTGAGGCCGCTGTGACAGGTCTGGTTCGTACTGGTCCAGTTCGTAACGCAGGTGCTCCAGTTCTGTCCAGGGCTCAGCAGAAGAAATGTCCAGGACGAACAGGAGGAAACGGCAGCGCTCGATGTGTCTGAGGAAAGACAGTCCTAATCCTCTGTTCAGATGAGCTCCACGGATGATCCCGGGAATGTCAGCGACTGTGCGGAGAGAGCAGAGGAAGCTCACGTCTGAAATGCTAAAATAAACGGCTGTGATGTCGCTTTTGAATCTGTTTTGTAAGATAGAGGTCTCTATTGAGTTTTCTACCAAATATCAGCACATACTGCACTGGTTTTACTCAATTATCTTCATCAGACTCAAACATGCATCTACGAGACCATTATGTTCCCCCAAAAGGGTTTTCAATTATACTAACTTGCAAGCATCGATACCTTGATAAAACAGTTCGTACAGTAATATAAAAAAAAAAAAAGTCCTATAAGTCAGAATATTCAGCCTTCCTTACTTGGTGGTATAAACTGTTTTTGCTCAGAAAACTACAGGAAACTTTTTTTTTTTTTTTAAATGTGTTAAATAAAAGTGACTGCTTGGGTTAAATACTAAAATAAAAATAGGACAAAAATAGTCCATAATACACTAAGAACAAAATGAAAATTATGAGGTATAACACATTTACCACAAAATAAACCTTTGGCCCCTGACTAGCCATCATCAATCCATCTATTTTCTTCCGCTTTATCCGTTGCCGGTGTGGTAGAATGTTTGACTATTATTATTATTTCTTAACTGCAGTGGAATGTTCTCTGCACTGTGTTAGGAAGAGCTAAACACTAGATGTCAAGTTGACCCAGAAGGTATGAGGCAAACATATTTGGGAACAAGTCATTGGGAAACATCTGGTTTGCTTTAAGTTATCCGGCCACTGCCAAGATTAAGATTTATGGAACTCGGACAGAGAGTATTAAAACACAGGAACCAGGACAGGATTTTCAGTCTTGTGCACGGACTCCATGCTGACTGACGGTTTTCCTCATGCTGAAACTAAATGAATAAAAAGCACTCTTAACTTTACTTTCGGCTTTTGGTGAAAGTTATTTGAATTAAAAACCACTACACTACAGCTATGTTATAAAATAAATAAATAGAATAAAATAAATTTAAACAAAATAGTTCTTAAGGTCAGAAGGGATAGATGGTGATATAGAAGAGGAGGAAGTTAGTGAGAAAGAGGAAATAATTAAAAAGTTTTTCCAAAAGAGCCCTCATTACTGGACATTAGTGTTATAGAAATGGAGAGAGGGGCGAGTGAAACTGAAAGACGTGAAACTGATACTGCCCTGGAAAAACATCTTGAAGAAACAAAGCACACTGACATGATCTCTGTCCAATGCTCACATCCCAACTGAAGAGGGCAACAACGCTGCACATATTGTACCTGAGAAGATCTTGCACCTCATTCCACAACGGTCAAGAGGTCATGCTGTCACTTAAACTATATTGGAGGCATCAGAATATCCGCTGCTAAAAAGACCAGGATCTCCGGTATATGCCCTGGGCTACTATGGACTTGGAAGGACTGATACAGCGCCTGCCCTGCTACATGATGATGCAAGTAAATGGATTTTGGCCTTCGAAGAATAGACCATCGCCAACATTATCGCTATGGGAGACATAAAGGCAATTTGGGGGAAGACTCTCGGAAAGAATGAGATGGAAGAAGTTTTATGCACTGCAAAACTGGAGCAGTATGCCGGAACCCAAGCCAATGATGGGGACATTTTCAACAGATATTGCAATCAGCTATGGACTGCCCTAAGGGAAAAGTTTCTGGTCAGAATCAAGTCTGACAGCATCGTTACGACACCCATCAAAGAAGACCAATGTCCCCAGGCGTACGTACATAACACATAAAAAGAGTGGATCAAGCAAACAGACGCAAAATCAGAGGATGACATCTTCCATCGGACAGCCCTGAGGAAGCGAATAGTCGAAGAGCTTCCATAGATGGCGCAAAGCAGACTGAATTAAGCAGTTGGTCCGTACAACATGACAGTTCACCGACCATGTTGTTGATGCAGTTGCCAAAATGCGGCAAAAGCAGGCCCAACAAAAGCAGGAATATGAGGAGGTCGTGAGGAAATTAACGCAGACACAGCTGTCAGCTGGGAAGAAGAAAATACAAGCTGTAATGTCTGCTAATGTTCAACCACCAACCCCTCAACCTGTGCCTCCAACACCGGCCCCAGCTCTCCAAATGATTTTTCTGCAAGTTGGAAACAGAGGGAGAGGCTACTACCCTGAAAGAAGCCGAGGCAGAGGATGGAGAAGAAACCCCCCATGATGTTATAACTATGGACAAACCGGACATATGAAAATGAACTGCCAACAACCGCTGCGTCAGGGTCCATACTACGAGATGCAAAAACCATTTTCTGGCAGAACACCAAAGAGAGGCACTGTAAACCCATGGCTGGGACCACCTGCCGGTTACTAGGGATGCCTAGAGCAGTGTTTTTCAACCACTGTGCCGCGGCACACTAGTGTGCCGTATGATATTGTCTGGTGTGCCGTGAGAAATTCGTCTACTTTGTCTAAAAATAACTGCATTCGCTGTTGACGAGCGGTGACTTGTTTTGAACTGTGGAGTAAACAATGTAATACTTTTTCAAATCAGTAGATGGCAGCAGATAGCTAAGTACTTTGAAACTGAAAAATTGGATGCGACCACTGGCTGTAACAGGTCAGCATTGTGGCGAGAAAGGTAAAATTGGATGCGACCAACAAATGTGGGAGGGAGCGAGACAAGAGCTTTGTGGCGAGTGAGAAGTGAAAGTGATAGAGACGTTTTTGAAAATGAATTATGCCATTTCTGAACAGGATTAACATCCTCCGCTCTGCCCCGGGGCAGCTGTGGCCGCGTTGTAGTGGTTTAACTATGAAATGTACAATTTTTGTACAACAGCTCTCGCGAACGCACTTCTGAACTGGGTACCGAGCGCAGACCATAGTCGAGTGGACAGAACCACAGACATGCGGACCGGACAGAACCATGGACCCTCATCCAAAACTCCTGAATTTAAAGCTCGGATACCTAAATTTTTCCCATGCACTAACAATTCATGTTCTTTGTTTGAGTTATTATTTGACTATTTGGGCAGAGAGTGGATTTTCTTAGTTTATTTCCACACAGTTAGTGCCACTTTATTCCCAAACTCTTGTTAATTGTATCGAGAAATATTAAATAAAGCTTAATGTCAAGGCTTGGACTTAAGCATTTTGATGAGAATAACTGTATATTGTGAATATAGGCTACAGAGTATACTGTATACATTATAAGATAAGATAAGATATCACACAGAGTATGTACTGTATACATTTTTAAATTTTCTCCTGGAGGTGTGCCGCAAGATTTTTTCAGTGAAAAAAAGTGTGCCTTGGCTCAAAAAAGGTTGAAAAACACTGGCCTAGAGAATAAAGGGGAAGGTCCTCAGCTGGCGGCAACATCAAGACCTGATGAGGAACGAATGCTGCAGGAAAAACCAGTCGAGATGATGGCAGACACAGGCGCAGCCTACACCTGTGTGAGGCAAACAGATTGCCGCCACCTTCCCAAATCACAACAGGTTGTTGCATTGTTGGATTCTCAGATATCAAGCAGCTGACTCCGATGTCCAACCCAGTGCCCCTGCATTTTCAAGGAAAGACTATTGAATTTCCAGTATTATTATCAAAGCAAACCCCCATAAACTTGTTGGGAAGAGATGCGTTGTGTGAGCTGAACTGTGTTATGTTTTGCTCACCTGATGGAGTGATTGTGGAAGTGTCACATTATCAAATTACATTAATCCCTGAAGAAGTTGCATTTTGATTGGGAAAATGTGATGGGACTTTAATGAATCCCACAAACACATGGATTAACTTTATAAAAGCAAATCTGCCCCAGGCTTCACTGCTTTCATGTCCTACTCATTGCACACTACAATTTTTTAGAGATATGTCTGAAGCTTGTCCAGAGGAGTGGCTCAGAAAACAGCCAGATAGAGTCCAGATTAAGGCATATTCATTCATAATAGGGAAATAGGGAGCGGAAACGGTTGTTGAGAACTGTGCATATTTAGAAAAAGAGGTCAAGGTGAAAAATAGCCTACCACATGGTACATTGTTAGTAAATCCAGATTATGAAGCTAAGCATTTGGGTCCTATGGTTCAGAAGGCAATACAAGTTGATTGTATGTGCACTGAAAACAAAAACGTTTGGTTGAGCAAAGACAAGGGTTTTATTAAAATAGACATCGGGTTGGGCTCAGCCACATGTCACCAGACTCCCGTGCCACTTGGAAAACTGTAAGCAACACTCAGAGTTAGAGGAAGATATGTTATTTGTTGTACCACCTGAAGTGTGGTCAAAACATGACGTAGGGCTCATTAAGACAGCACAGCCAGTAGAAGTTAAGCTTAAACCAGGGTGCAGAACCCCTTGGAGACCGTACCCCCTAAAAACCAGAGGCTGAGGCTGGCATTGTAAAAAAAAACAATTCGAGGCCTGTGGAGGCTGGGGTCCTGGTGGAAGAGCTAAACCCATACAGTAACTCATCAGTATTATCAGTATTAAAAGTAGACAGAAGTAAATACAGATTAGTACACGGTTTGCGTATGAAGTGGTTGAGGATTGTCATTCTGAGGTCCCAAACTGTTAACAAATGTACCGTCTGATGCAAGGTGGTTCACAGTGATTGATTTGAGCCCTGCATTTTTTAGCGTGCCATTGAGTCCCCCAAGCCAGCAGTTATTTGTTGTCACATACAGAAATCAATCCTATACTTACTGGCGCGTACCGCAAGGCCTGAAACTACGTCCCCATATTTTGAATACAATTTTGAGAAAAGATTTGGCTGAACTGTCAGGCAAAGTGTCCAGCACCATAATTAGCTATGTCGATGATATTATTTTGTGTGCACCTGATCTGGAAACGTGTCATAAAGATTCTATGACTCTGCTGACCATGCTCGCAGAAAAAAGGACATAAGGTGTCCTTGGGGAAATTGCATTATAGTCAAGACCAAGTTGAGTATTTGGGGAGACTGATAAGCGAGGGGTCCCAATTAGTCTCAACGACCCACCATGAAGCTACATCACAAAGGCCAGCCAAGAACAGTCAAAAAATATATATATATATGACACATCACAAATTGGTGAA